ACATAAAATGGCCTTGTGTCTTTCTTGCTTATGTTGTTTGGTACAATGTTGTCGGCTTCTTATTAGACTCTTGAATTTTTAGCTTTTCTGGATATCATTTTTGAATCTTGACTTCATTTTCACTACTAATATTCGATAGGGTTAACTGCTCCATCATACACTAACATTTTCTGATGATTTTATTAGGTTTTTCAACTTTAAAATTCTCCATTTGACTCCTATATATTTCAACACAAATAAATGCAGTGTTTCAAACTTTCTGTGGGAAATCAATAGCTTCTCTTCCTGGAATCATTTTCACAGTTTGACCCAAAGCTTCAACGCAAACACTAATCTGCCATTAAAATTTTAGCTAAGATTTCAGCTTGACTCTAATGTATAATCTTAAGGTAGTTAGAGTAAGCAAAAGCTCTTGAAAATGTCAAGTCATATTAGACAACATGCATTCATTATGTCTATGACAGCTTGATTATCTCAAGCTTAGATTTTTTTTGGCATATAATGAGTGTCCTATTGGTTTGCATATAATGAATAGACTAAATAACAAATTATTGCTCAGAATTAAAAGCTGTTCACCCATTTGCTGATGTTATTCTAGGTAACTGAGCTGTCCTATTGGTTTGCATATAATGAGTATTCTATCAAATAGTCAAATTGCTATATACACACTAGAAAAAAGATTGTAGTGATGGACATCAATAACAGATTTTATGCACCAAAGTCATTTCCAACCTCCTGGTACTGATGCTCTGGTCTTTAATCACAATGAAGCTATACAGACTCTAAGTTAGTTTTTCTTACAATACACATGTCTGCTATATGTGACCTGTTGTTGTTCTAAATGAGGAATGGGAGTGCTTATCTATTTTTAAGATAACATTAAGCTGGCCAACCTTTTTTAGTGATCTAAATGCCTATTGGTTAAGCAGCTTAAGACTTTGTACTTCTTGTTTCTAATTGCTTACTTAGTGTGTTCCTTGTTTGCTGTTTCGTTTAGGCTAGACTTGTCTGGGGCAATGAAAAGCTCAATGGTTATTTTTAAAGGATATTGTATGTAGGCCATTCTTCGTCTGTTATTCATTGTAGTCTTTTTACTCAAAGCTCATTCACTCATTTATATGCCTATCAGTTCAACATCTTAGGTTATTGTGCCTGTTTTATCCCAAGTATATACACTCTATTTTTTTGCTTGAAATTGCAGAAGTATGTGTAAATATATATGTTAATCTTATCTAGATGTATCATTGGGTCCCCTAATAGCATTAATTTGACTACCATTCGAGCTGAATCGGGAAGAAAACAAATTGCAGTAGGATGTAGTTCTTGCATTGAGGAGTTGGCTGCTTTTAATCATTCGTGTATTTGACAAAGGTGAAAGTGCCACTTATGGGAGTCGGTCTTGCCTTTGTGGACTAAATGGATTTCTTAAGGTCATAAAGCTGCAATACACATTTCTGATTTTGATCTCCTTTGGTGTAATGAACATACTTTAATGTACTTTTCAAACTTGTTTCTGTGCCTTGGAGAGTAAAGTACATTTTCTTATCTTTATAACTGGACTTCATTAATTGATACCTTCTCTAACTTTGAAGCTGCTCTCTATTTGTTTTTTGTTCTTATTTTCCATATTTCTTTAGTAACTTATCTTTTTTCCCCTCTCCAGAATTACCACTTAATATGGGGGCATGGACAATTATCATTTTATCAGCAATTTAAATAAATTACAGTAATGGATGCTAATCCCAGTTCCCAGACATCATCAACTTATAACCCATACTTGGAACATCTTAATGTATCTAAACTGATTGTACAAGTAATTTTGGAATGAAAACTTCAATTTCTTTGTGAATCATGGAAGGGTGATATGTAAACTTGAAAACTTTTGTTACCGTTAACTGATTACAACTTTATAGCTCAACAGCTCATATAGCAAACTAATGCAAGCATTATCATTTACTGTTTTTCTTTGCCCCCTTTTGTCTATGTTCTTTCCCTGATATTTCTTTTTTCCTGTGTTTTGTTGCCTGGATAATCTACACCTCATCCTAGGTGCAAAGCTTTTTGCATTTCCCTATCTGATTTATCGTTGCTGTTACCAGGTATGCCTAATGCTTCAGCCTGACTTTTACACAAAAAAACCTGTTGTTAGCTGTATTGTCTCCTTAGTTCATGTTTTTTTATGCTTTTGCTATTAGACTTTGGTGGCTCTATATGCTCAACTCCTTTAACCTCTGCTTAGTCGTATGTCCAGTTGGTTTTACATTTATTCTGTAGTTGCTTTCTGTTTATTTGATTGTTTAATATTGTTTGCGTAAGAGTATACAAACAACCGTATAATATAGAGCAATTATATGATTGACTAAATTGTGATTGAGATATCTGATAGTCAGTCATTACATTAGAGAAGTTCCATTAGCTATTTTATCATATCTGCCTTCATGGACTAGCATCCTTCTTTTCTTATATTTTGTCACAAACGAGGCTTCTGAAATGCTACTGGTTTTCCTCCATTTGAGGTGACTCAAAAATATGGATAAAATTAGTTATAAAAAACAAGCTATTCAAAGATAGAGGCAAAAACGGTTAGATAGGCTGTCGCGACTTCGTGGCTCGGGACCCTCAACTGTAATTAATGTTCCTCACTTGCTTCCTATAAGGGCAAATAACAGCCAACTATCTATGAGTAGATCACTTCCATTTCTACAAAATCAATTTCTTGCTATAAGAAATAATGGAAGCCAAAAAAATATGGGATATAGAAGCAAAAAATCCCAGAGAGATGGCTTGCTTCACTCCATATCTCTGGAATCACATCAGCCATTTCTTCTTAGACACCCGAACGTCCATTCTATCCTGCCTGCCAATTCAAATGACACAGAAACATCCATGAATATGTCATTTAGATTTGCAGCACTTGAGCCTTCCAGTATAGCCTATAACAAAGAGGATCATCTTACATTAGAACCTGATATATCTCAGATGCATTGTATGCATGAAACAGAGCAAATAGAAGCTGAAAATGCTAGCTGCTCTAGGTTTGTGACTTACCCTATTGAGTCTGGTATGCCTCATCCTGTGAACCCAGCTACTTTGCTGTTTGCAAGTTCAAATATGGTGCATTCAATTGTCAATGCGCCATCTGAACTCTTGGCAACAAAAAATCCTGTTGCAGCAAATAATAGAAGGCAAAGATCTGAGATACTAAAACATAAAAGGTGCCAAGAAAAA